TATGCTTTTTAGTGTATGTATTTTAAGATTAATTTGTCTTTTGAAACTATAAAGTTAAAATGTATCTAAAAATGCATATATTTATCTAAATATTTGAAAAAAGGGGCAAGTAACTGATACTCTTTATAATTATATGTAATTTTAATTTCACTTTCTATTAATCGTATTATAAAAACATGGAAGACCATTAAATATTTATTCCAGTTTAATTTTAATACAGGTAAAAGTCAGATGAAATTTTAGTGTTTACTTATACAACTCTATTTAATGAATAAAAATATTTTCACAGTGAAATTTATGAGTACTAAATGAAAAAACCCAATATTCCCCGGGTTTTTTCAAATAAAACCCAATTTTCCCCGGGTTTTTTCAATAAAACCCAGGCGGGTTGGGTTTTTTCAAAAATCCCCGGGTTTTTTCAAACCCTGCCTGTGATAGTTTATTTCATAAAATAATCTACAGAGTATTTCTGGTATTAATATTCTTTTGGTTTAATTTTGCGCTATACTGGTATTACTTTGTAAAATTACTTTTCATAATTAAGCTTCTAACACACTAGAAATAAATGTTAGCACATATAACTTTTAATTCTTTAAATCTGGTTACTAAAATTATTTTCTAGAAAAGCAGTAAACTGCATTTTTATTGAAGCACATCACCTGACCGTGGTCAAACATGTAGCCCCATTTTTCAGGCCTATATCTATTAATGGTTGTGGTTTTTTCTTTTAAATGAAAAAGGAAATATAAATTTCTGTTTAAAATAATTTCAAAAAGTTTCTGAAACGATGTATTTTTGGAAAATAAAAGGTTTCTGAAATGATGTATTTTTCGGAAAGAATAATCTGACATTGATTTTGTTCTGTTTATTTTAAATATCCTTGCTATCTTGATTATAAAGAATATATATCTTTTTTTTTATACACTTTATTTAAGATAAGTTAGAGTATATCATTTTGTGCATTTTCGAAGTAGTTTATTTAGAGAAGCTATTTTTTTGGGAACTGATCGTGACATATTTTTATTACCTGTGCCAATCTTTCAATTATAATAAATGTAAGTGATAACCGAATAAGCATCATAATTGTAAGGGATGATGTAAGTGAACTTCATAAAAATTATATTTGATACTGAAAGTAAGCATTATAATAATTTTAAGTGATTTTACTTCTTTCTGATATAACTTATAAAAAAGTATTTTACACTCTGTTATTAAACACAAGCTGATCCCTTGATGAAGTGAAGCAAAATTTTCCAATAGCACCTTGTAGTTTACTTTAATGTGAAGCTTATTTGTTTATGTTAAATAAATTTTTTGATTCAGACACTTAATTTTGATCAGTTATGTAATATATATTTTGATTATAGTTTATCTGAAATTTTAATTTATCAAGTTTTAAAAATAATTATTTATATTGATACAACCAAAAATGTTACTTCTTGTTTGTAAGGATGCCACAATGGTTTTGATAAATGTCACATTTTCAAACTGAAAATTATCAAAAAACTCTAAAAATTCCACGGCTGCATTAAAAATGGGAAGAAAACACAACTTCCTATAAAACTTGCTTATTTTGCTTTAAAAAATAATGAATTTAAAAAATAACACACCACAGATATTCCTAGAAGATGAGTTAGGTCGTCAATCACTTTGAAAGAGTCAAAATGTTAAATTAATGTTGTGTTCTTTAATTTTTTATTAGGTAATTAATTTAATTTATAAAAAAAAAACTTCAAGTGATATAGAAGGTTAAAGATTTAATTTAATATTTTATTTGTGCATTTATTTCCTTTATGAATTTTAATAGAGAGACAAATATAAACAGATTTTAAAAGTCTGCTCTAATTTATTTTTTCCCCAATTTTGTGTGGTTCTTAAAATGTATGTTATAAGCAAAATTATAGGTCTGATATTATCATTAAAATTCTTTATATTCTCATTTGTGTTTGCTAATCTAATTTTTTGTTTTACAGCTGCTAAACCCGAAAAAGAATTGATGCATGATGAAAAACCTCTTGAGGAAAATATAAACAGACTTGAAGTTGATGGAGATATTGCACGCAGTGTTGATGATGCTATTGCAATTTTGAGGTAAAATTTGCTTTCAAAATTTTTTTTCCTGACCATTCTTAAATAAAATAATAATAAATATGTACTAAAAGTTATTTTTTGCATGGAATTATCTTTGAATGAATAAATTTTATAATAGTGTGTAAAAAAATTTTCAGCTTGCTTAAAAAGTTCTCGAGATATTGCGAAATAATCAAAAGTAAAATGAATATTAAGAAACTAACAAAACTTTGGAATGCTCTCCTGACCAAACTATTGGGACCATCTTTAGAAAATTGCACCTATACCGTATATATTGGGGGTTTGAAGAAAAATTCATTGAAAAAAAGGTCTGTTCATTCAAAGAAAGTGCATATTTTTGCCTGATTTCGTAACTTAAAAAATATCGTCTACACTAATTAATTAGTATATTTGAGGTCACCCCCTCGAACCATTACGATTGAGTCATAGAACATGAAGACCCTATCATTAGATCAAAAGTAACTCAGGGTGGTGCCTTTTTTTGTGCAATTTACATAATATTTCCATATGTAAGAACATTAATGCTCATAATGAAAAGAAAGATTTTATTTGTTGAAAATATGAAACAATCCCTTTTTGTTGAACAAGCTTTCGACAAGGAGTATTTACTCTGCCTAACATCCTTATGCTTTTCACAATTTTTAGTGTTTCCTTCAAAATTAAAAAATAAAGTTTTATACTGCATTAAAGATTCACTTGGACTTTCTCTCTATTCTTTGATTTGGCACTCATCCAAGTGTTGTTATGATTTAGATACATTTTTTCATAAATGTTTCACAACAGAAATGCTATAAAACATATTTTTGACTGCCCTGCCATTTTAAGATCCATGACTCAGCTTGGGGAATTCTCTCCCCTTTCGACATCGAGAGTCTGTACTCCGACAACATCAAGGAGTTAGCCGGCTGTGTTTTGCACACCCATGGATATCTATAGTTCTCCCCATGGACACGACACCAACCAACCAACAGAAATGCTATCTTTTTTTTAATTTGGGAGTATTTGGCAATAAAGTTCTTTTTTTTCCTTCTGAATTTTGACTCTATCACACATGCATTAGACGCATAATTTAGATCCTGGCTAATGCTCTCAAAGTTTCTTATTTCTTAAAGGTTCCTTCAAAATTCTGAAAATATCAACTTGAATTTTTTTTTCTTATAAATTATTGAAATTCTATGTAACAACAACAACAAACTCCACTGTAAACTCACAGAACTTTTAGTTTCTGATGGTAACCAAGTTGATTTTTAAAACTTATATATACTTGTGCCATTAGTGATTTTCATCAGTCTGTACTAATAGTTCAGGTCCTGATATTTAGTTTGAATTATTGTTCATTAGTATTTATAACTACTACTAAATATTAGGACTGCATATTATTATTTTCGACTTACTGGAAGTTTTGTGCATTTTTATCTTTGTAAAACTTGAATTGATTCATGACATGGCTTATAATTTTCTATTTTTTTACTTATTGTGTAATAATTTTAATTTATTTTTTACTAAAAGATACTTATCCCTCTCTGTATACAATTTAATCATAAAGATAACCTCAATATTTTATGATTCGTTAAAGATCAGCAAATTTTGAAATTTTTTAAAATTGTTATTTCATTTAATAATGTAATATTATTAAATTATTATTTAAAAGCTACTATATATGTTACGGACGGGGAGTGTCTAGAATTAGGTGCAAAGTAATCTAGGATAGTTACAATTAAAGCTTTTATTAAGGAAACACCAAAAGACAACACAAAACAATTATAGTTGAACATCTTTTGGAGTTCTCTTCCCGCTGCTGCCTCGTGAGTAAGTGTGTGAAGAGAGCCTGCTTTACTACAGATGGCGCTGCATGGCATATACACCATATACTAGTGGCAAAGGTCATTAAAAATACAGAAAAAAGAGAATATTATATTTATTATATTATATACATTAAATTATATATATTATATTATATATATTAAATTATGTATATTATATTATAGATATTAAATTATAGATATTATATTATATTAAAAAATTTATGGTGTTTATTATTTTCTATTAATTGATATCTGATGTAAATATTTTTTAGAGTATAAAGAGTTAAAAAAAATAATTTTGTGTGAATCTATGTAATGTTCTTCTATTTGATTAAAAGTAAAATATCATATGAATAGTTCATTTCATTAAAAAAAGTATTTCAAATTGAAAAAAGTTATTAAGCATTACTAGAACTAGTATTACTGGAAATAAAGATAATGATCCTGCTTTTTATATCATACAATCTATCATTCCATCTGGTCTTATCTTCGGTTCCTTAGTTTAGTATTGATAGTTATTTTCTTCCGTGTAGCGTTTCTGGTGAGAAAGTGGATCTCCACCCAGAGAAGAGGGTGAAGGCAGCGTATCAAGCATTTGAAGAGAAAAATCTTCCTCTTCTGAAAGCTGAAAATCCCAATTTGCGCTTATCCCAACTGAAGCAAATGTTGAAAAAGGACTGGATGAAGTCCCCTGAAAATCCACTGAATCAGCGATAAATACTTTTCTGCCATTTTTGTTCCTAGTTTATTATGTCTTGACTGTTCTTGAGTTCCAAGATTTGGAAATGGTTTGCATCATCTCTGAGTGTACATAAGTGTATTGATGTTGATCATGTGATATATTTATTGTAAGAACAATGAAGTAAAAATACAACTGTTTTTAATTTAGTGTTTTAGTATATTTGTTGGCAAAGGGAAATAGATTTTTTTATAAAATATATGCAGAATAAGTCATAATAAATGCTCCTGTTTCATTAGTGTACTGCCCAAAATGTGATAAATGTATATGCATGCAGAAATAATTTGAGCAAGTTTTGAATGCATTCCTCATAAATGTTCAATATGCGCTTGTCTGTATCGATGTTGGATATGAAAATAGACCTGTAGTTATCTACACACAATCTTTTATGAACTCCACAGGGAAAAATCACATGTGTTTAAAATTTTTGAGGGCTCTTAACTTAATTTTCAATATGCTCAACTATACCTTCTCTTACTGAAAGAGGTCATTGATTTACTTATACAAATGCAGCCTGCCTCTTGAAATTTTGCACGCCAAAAAAAAAAAAAAAAAATTGCCTTATGATTTGATCTTGTGCTGTCTGTCTGCATTTTGTTCGGAACTAGTGCCGAACAATTACAATATCCTGAAGGCCTCGTTTTTCTACTTGTTTTGTTTTCACATAAATGCTGATTACAAGTGGACTTCCCGCACTATCTATTAGATACTATTCAAAATTTAATTACAAAACCTCTGTATGTATATGCATTTTTAATGAATACATTTATTGCAGGCTGCCTAGTTCACCTATGAAATTGTGATTATCATTTTGACTTTATCTGTATTTATTTTCTTTTATCTCTCTTAATATTTAATAAACAGAGGTTAAAAGTTAAAGAAAAAATAGTTATAAGTAATGAAATTTTGTAAGTATATTTTATTAATACTTAGTATAAAACAAGGTTGTTTTTTTTCTTGACTTATTATTCTAGTTTTCATTTATTTATAAGATATTTAAAGTTCTCACATTAATTTCTTTAACTTAGTAGCTAGTAATAATGTGTTTTTTCCTTACCAATAAAAATAATAAAACGTTTCTCTTTATTGAAAATTATTATTTTTAACATTTAACAATATCTTGAAACCAAAAAGTGATGCAATAAAATTGATCTAATGACTTAATTGATCTGTTTTCTGTAAAATTCTAATAGCTTGCAGATTTTGAAAAATATCTTGTAGTTGTTAAAAGTTTTAAATTACAATTCAGTATACATTTTTGAATAAAATTTAAGATTTTCTTAAAAAATAATATTTTTATGGTTGTGTGTGATACTTAGAGAGTCACAACACTTTGATATTTTTAAAGATTTCAAACATAAATTTTATCACTTGTCTATATTTTAACGAGAATTTAAGACTATTTTCCTTCACCTATGATGATTTGTTTGAAATATAAAATTAAAATAAGCATGTTTTCAATACATAGTTTATCTGCCAAATAATGAGCTACAAAGAAACCCTGATTTAAGTTTATAGTAATTGCAAATATAAATGATTATAAAAATTATCATTTGTAAATTATTAAGATTTGATGTAAAATAAGACTAATTCTGATAATAAAATTCCTCATCTTGTATGGAGTTTTGAAACAACTTACATATTTCATTTGTAAATTTGTCATCTTATGTTAAAATTTATCAAATAATTTCAACCAGACTGCTTTAGAATTTCACAAAAATTTTTAAAAATAACTTTTTATCTGTCACATATAACTTTTAAAACTTGAAACTATCACCTTTGTCTTTTTTTTCTTTCGTTTAAAATCTTAACATAATAATGAGATTCTTCGTTTGCTAGTTACGTTCATGTAACAGATCAGTGTGTCACTTCTCTATGTAGTGTTGGAGTGGTAGCAGCCGAGAACCGTTTTAAGGCAATAGCTTGAAAGTACAATTTTTTTTTTTAAAGTTAAACTTGTGACAGATAGGTGCTTCTACCTTAGAAGCTGAAGAGGGAGTGTTTGAGAGGAGTTTGGTAGCAAGAGGCTGAGAGAAATGCGTGATTTAGACTTCCTGAACATTTTTCCAAGATTTCTAAGTCTTGTCATTTTATTTAGATGAATCTTTTTAGCCTAGAATAAATTTTCTTAAAGAATACCCTTTTGTTCATGCTATCACTGTTTGATTCATGTGTGCTAGATCTGAGGGCCTTTTTGCAACATAGCAGTTTTTTTTAAACCATTAGACAGCTTTTTTTCCTTACTAGATATTAAGATCAGATAAAAGAATAGTTATTCCTTATGGATAGAATTTAATTAGCATGTATTAAATTTATTTCCTTAGAAACTGATAGTGTTTTTAGAAGATGAGGAAAATGGCTTAAAATATTCCATTTATATATGTCTGTTTGTGTTAGAATATGGAGAGTAATCTAAGAGAATATTGCTGCTCTTACTAGTTAGAAAACAATGATTCTTCCGGTTTTGGTTGATACAAAAACGTTGATAAAATAAGCATGTTAATTTGGAAAATAATTAAATTATGATTGATCATATCAAATACTTTTATAAGAGGATAGTTACTTTTTAAGATTTATTAATAGTATATGAAATACATTTAGTTGCAAGTGCCAATTTTTAACATTGTTAACTCTCACATATTTGTAACAGTTACTTCACTATTAAAAGTTCCAAAAATCAAGTTCCAAATTGTAGATTCCAAATAAAAATACCCATTCCCAAATAATTGTTAGATCTTTAAGTGATAATAGTTATATTTTTATGTCTTTAATATTATTGAAGACTGGAAAAAGAAAAGTGCCAAGCAATATATTTCAATAAAAATCAATTTTAACATCTTTAGAAACAAATTAAAGAATTCAAATAGCAGTAACCCATAACCTGCCAATTATCAAAGTACCAGCTGTATTTCACGGTTCTATAACCATTATCTGAAAATAATGGCACTTGAAGCTTTGTATTTATTTTTAACCAGAATTTCTAAATTAAGAGTGTGCATTATGTCATACGTGTAATTTTTAACAAAAAAAATAACAGATTTGAACAAACATAATTTATTAAAATTTATCACCCAGTAAAACATACAATAACAAACAGGAATGTATTTCTTAAATGGAATAGTCACTTTCAACAATTAGAATGAAACATTGACGCCATCTTTTAGCATTAACAATGATTTAGTAACTTTCAGACATTAACACTGCCATTCATAGTACTTTGGCCTACAATATGTTAAATACTTTCAACAATTATAAAAGATATTATCACATAGTTTATTTTAATTTTAAAATATTTTTTAAAAACAATTTTTATATATTTATTTATTTTAAATTATAGATTGTAAAACAAAAAAGTTTTACAATCTGATACATTACTATCTTTGTATAAGGTCAAGGCTCTATAAATGGCACTGTGAGGTAAAACAGAATCCTAATTACATAAATCTGAGGTGAAATATATTTAAAACAATGACATTTCATTCTGTACAATTATTTACAAATATATACAAAATTATCACAAATTTTAGAAATAATAGTCTAAAAAAAAGGTTTGTAACCAGTAGCAATGACGTGTTACAAATGTAACGATCATGAACTAATAACGTAACATAGAATTTGTCACGCAAACAGCCAAGAATTTTTTAGCTCTTGAATATAGAACAATTTTTTTCCAATATATATTTAATAGCACCAATTGCAATAACTTTGACACTGCAGAAGTATAACAACTTTCTAGTTAAATGAATAATATTGTACTTTATATTACAATCATTTCAAACAGGTTTAAAAAATTTACGTCAATTAAAAAATTTTATATATTTAAAGCATAGTTTTAACAAAATTCTTTTATAAAGAATACTCTTAATTTATAAATTTAACTATATTAAATGGAAATGTTTTGAACATGAATATGAAAACTTGAACATTTGTAAATATGTATTGTTGAAACATGCAAAATACATATAGTTCAGGAACACACTGCAGAAGTATAATAGCTTTTCAGTTAAATGAATATTATTGTACTCTATATTATGCATCATTTTAAATAAGTTTAAAAATTTCCGTTACTCAAATTTTTTTATATATTTAAAGCATATTCTTAAAAAAAATCAACTATAAATATTTTTAAATTATAAATTTAACTATATTAAATGGTAATGTTTTGAACATGAATAAGAAAACTTGATCACTTGTAAATATGCAGGGCCCGCACTAAGCATACGCCACTTTGCCAAATTTGATAAAATTATAATTTTGGTGACTAAAATCGAGTTTTGAAGAACAATTTCTTTCACTGGAAAGAAATATATAAATAAAAAATTGTTAAGATTTGCATTTGGCGAATACTTTCAATATTTGGCTAATCGTTTGAAATCCTTAGTGTGGACCCTGAATATGTATTATTTAGGCATGCAAAATACTTATAGTTCAGGTTTTTTTTATGATAAATATATCTCCAAATTGAGATGTATTAGTCTTAATTTAAAGAGAATTTTTATATATTTAATATATTGCAAGCTACCACGCAGTATTAAGAATTAAATATAATCAAATTTAAAAATTTTAATATCCTAGTAAAATTTGGATATGTTTATATTTTCCCTTCACATTAACAATTAAATGATCTTTCTCGATTGTTGTACATAGTTATGTAAATTTAACCTGTATATTAAAAAAGTGATTATTAATTACTAACAGATCATGTCAGATTTCAATATAAATATGATATAGTAAAACAGTTTTAAACTTATTTTTTCAAACAACTCACTATCAGTCAAAAGCATTTTCCTCTTAAATAAAAACACACCAATAAATGGATAGTCAGTTAAACATAGCCAAAACCGGCAACAATTTTCCCTTTGTACAATATTCACTTCAGTTTCTTCGAAAACATTCATTCTTGTTCTTCCCATTAACAACACTCTCTGAAGTCTCTTAATAATAATTCACAGAGTGTAATCCTCAGCATTCTCGAAACATTGTCTGAAGAGTTTATCACATAAAACACAGTGAGAAACATTCACAACACTCTTAGCTTCGTAAATTGTCCCTGTTAATTTGGAGTGCTCTGCTTGCAATCTGCACAAATTCTCCAACATCTACAATGGTGTCCGCACCATTCCGGAATACATCTTCAGGAATTCTGCGATCCAGTTCCGGATGGTTGTTATGCCACTCAATGTAAGAGCCTCTACTTCTTAACAAACTGGCAAACTCAGCAACATTTAATTGAGCCTAAAATAAAGGAAATACATGGTTATTTCAAATTTAAATAAACTAATTTATTTGATAATCAATAACTTAAATAACTATTTAGAAGAGCTTAATGGACCAATTTATGTAAGTGATATTTGTTTAAAAACATATCAAGCAATATTTGGAAAATGCAGAGTTTTTCATAATTAAGATTTTTAAATGGTCCAAGATTTTAAGCTTATTTAAATGGCCTAAGATTTAAAGCTTTTTAATTGGCCCAAGATTTTAAGCTATTTAAATGGTCCTAGATAAATATAGGATCATTCAATTAAATGTCTATAATTATGCCATCAGTTAAAAAAAAAAAAATTTAAAACTTTTTTTAATTTTTAATAAATTTATAACATTTTAGAATTTTTTATGAAATGCTAAAATAGTAACTTACCTTATATGGTACAAGTTGAACTGCAACACTTGATTTTGGCAAGTACAATGCATTCACTAAACCTGCTCCATTCATTCCAATTAGAACATTATATTGCTGAACTTTTTCAATCTAAAAAAGAATAAAAAATGATAAGTAAGTTCAGAAATTTTGATACAAGTATCCATAGTCATAAATTGAACATTCTAATGATACCAGTCTTTTTAAAATTATCTTATACTTTTAAAACTTTGTAACTGAATTTTAACTTGCAAGAAACGAAAATAAATTTAGATTGACATAAAATAAATCTACTTACTTGTTCTTTAACAGACATGAAGGAGAAATCAACAACATCCACTTTAGCAACTGCTGACATGCTTTTCACTAATTCAGCCTCATTTAGTATCTTTCTGCGACCTTCTCTATATAACAGGAAGAAAAAATTATTTTAGATTTGTATAAAAACAATTATTTTCAACATTAATTAATAAAAGACAGCCCATTATAGAGTTTTTTTGTGACATTGAATAAATATTTACCTGTGAATGAGTCCAATTTTAGGCTTCTTAGAATCCACATTGGTTTTTGGAGATTTGATTCCAAAGGCTTTCTTAACAAACAATGCATAGGATTGCAAAAGTTCAGGACTAGAGAAATCAATTTTTGGAGTCTGTAAATAACAAAAAGGAACATTAAAACTTAGAATTAAAAATTATTTTATAGCATATTAAATAATTATCAGCTTTTTTTTTTAACCTTTTGCTTAAGGCTGATAAAAGTGAACCAAAGCAACAGGTTTCACCATACTATGAGCCGTAAGAAAATGTTTAATATTAAAAATAAAATTTTAAAAATTCATAGTATTATTATCAGCTCATTACTTTTAAGTTAATTAAATTAATTCAAAATCAGATAATATATGCTACAGTATTATTTATTATATAAATATTTATTTTTTATTATAGCATCAAAAGCATTTTAATAATTATTATAATGAATTGATTATTATTTATAAATTATATTAATAACAATATTATATTTATAAGTTAAATAAATAAGTTATATACATGAATTTTGTGTTATATTACTTATTAAAATAAATTACTTATTAGTGTGAGTCCATTAGTCACATTAAAAAAAAAGATAATATTCTGATACGGCACAAAATTTAAATAATTACCCCAAAATATGCTTCTTCAAAGCAGACAGTCTTGTTGATGCCAGCAAGCCTGCGGTCCAATGGCAGCAAACGGTGAGGTTTAGAAAGAGCCTAAAATGTTAAAAATTGATCAATAAATGTGAAAAAATAAGATGCATAATTACTTTTAAAAATTAAAGGTAATGTCTGTTTAAAATAAAGAAGAGAGTTAACTTACAGTGAGAAGCTGCATCCAGTATGAACGGAGATCATTAAAAGCATCAGTATTCCAGTCAATACCCTAAAAGAATAAAATCATATAAATAAATTGCTGAAACAAATATATTCTTATTCTAAATGTATTATAAATATTTATATACAAATATATATAAATATTTATAATATATTTTCAAACCAATTTTAAATTTTAATTTTTTATTAAAACAAAAAAATTCCATAACAAGTTTTCCATCACAGATTAACTTCATTTTCAATCAATCTTCCTAACATTATTGGTTGAAAAACTTTATTTACTACCTTTCAAAATCAGTGTCTATTTGCTATCACTGTTTATTTACTATCTTTCAAAACATCATCCATTATTAAAATTTTATTTACTATCTTCCCAAATATTATTCGTTGATAAACTTCATTCAAAATCTTTCCTAAACATTATTCATTGAAAAAATTTGCTTACAATTATTCTAAATATTGTTTAAAGTTCAAGCAACGAAAAAAAAATGAAGTTTTCTAATTAAAATTTATGTTTACCTCTCCTCTGGTAGTCTCTATTCCAGGAAGTAAAGCAATATCTTTGATTGCACCAGATGAGGATTTGGTGGAATCCTGATGAAGAGCAACAAACAAGGGCAAAAGTGTGTCATAGTGAAGATGGAAGTAATTACTACCATGGTAGTAGTAAGGAGTGAAAAAATGTCCACGGCTAAACACTTGATCACAAACAATGTTATTCAATGATTGATGATGTTGGTCAGATTTGGCACTTTCAAACTTCCAAATGTTTTTAGTCTGATGGCATGCATCAAGGTCAGACAAGTCTCCATCAATCCTCAAGACTTGGTCACCGGTGCTGAAGATAACGTTTCGGACCTTGCAGTAACTGGATGGCCATTGCCCTGGATAATTGGTCACAAGAGATGGTTTGTCACTGCAGTCAGAGTTGCCGTTGCAAATAGGGGCAGATGAAACAGTAATAGCAAGTAGTGTCAACAACATCAGGATAGCGTAAGTTGAAGTAATCAAAGCCATGTTGTCAATTTAAAATAGGTGGTTCTAGAGATGGGATCCTTTCAATTGTTTCCAAAACAGCAAAAAGCTAAAATAGAAAATTATTTTTAATATTAATACATCTACATAAATATAACATTAAGTAGCAAATAACATACAAAAAAATAAAACAATTTCATAGTAAACACAACATACCTTAATTGGTAAATTTAGAAGTATTAACAAAATAAGTTGGATGCATGAAAACTCATTTGAAACTGGGCGAAGTGAATTTAACTGTTAAGTTGACAATCTCTAGTGTGAGAATGAAGTAATATTATTTAACCTCCCAGAAGTCATGCACTGGAAAAGGTTGCATGAATTAAAAAGTTTCCACTATCACGCCAAATGTAAAAACGCCAAATGGAAGTTTCCAACGCCAAAACAACGGTAATGTTCAATCCGCTTGTTCACGGTTGAAATGCAAATAATCGCCAAAACGGAATCGAGCATGATCGTTGTTGATCGCAGATGGAGGCCTTGTGATGGGAAAAGGGGGAAAAAAGATTGAATAATAGGGGGATGGAACTTGTTCTATGGTGCCCGGTGGTTGCGAACTGTGGGAAAGAGGCGGGCTTCGAAACTTCTTTCCCACGTTCTTTTCAGTTTCCCAGTAGTTTTTTTTCCATGGTTATATATCGCTCTTCTTCACAGCAGTGTATAGTTCCAGCTTTCACCGTATGGTCGTAGTTCAATTACGATTCCCCTCCCCCCGTAACCTTTGTTAATTCCGAAACTGTTATTTTGGGCAGAGGTTATTTCGTGTTGCTGATAGAGGCAAAAACCATGGAATTATTTTTAATTAGGTAGTTACATGTTGTGGAATTCACGGAGTTGAGTGACTTGAGATCGCTTGATTCATAGAGGCAGCAAAATAGTTAAGGAATTGCGAATTTATTTGAAACTTTAATGTTTGGAAAATTTAAATGTAAACAAAACAAACATGATGTAACGAACGATAAAAATGTAATAACGAAAAAAAAAAAAATATTAAAACAAAATTCTCAATTACTTTAGGTTTAAAAATCTGCAAAGGTTTGCTTGACAATTAAAAACGTTTGGTCATAAATACATTTATATATTTGGTCATAAATACTTTTATGTAACTTAAGCATTTGAAAGACTAATTTTCAATGTTTTAAATATGTTTTTCTTTTCTTTTTTGCCTGAATGTGAGAGATTAATATGCTATATTTTCATTGCTTTAAATATGCTTTTCTTAAGAAAGAATTAAAAAAAAAAAAACAATTAAATAAAGTGTTGGCAAAATCGTTCCCTTATAATGGAAGAAGTTAAGATAGATTTAACAACAGTGAGTATCAAAATAACAATACTCACCGAAGTTTATGTAGAAAAAAATATATATAAGTCGGATTCGAGATTTGTTTGACTTGCCTTTTAAAAGTTGGAGTAGTGACTAAAAGAAGAACAAAATTTAATCATAATTCATCTAAAACTTATACATTTTATGAATTGTCTGAGACTTGTCATAAAAATTTTTTTTATTTCTTTCACTGAGCATTTCGTAGTCGCGGAATTAACTGCGGTGATAAATGATGATAATGAAATTATGTTGCTACCATTATTGACTTGGCGAAGAAAAAAAAAATACAAAATGATGACGCTGGGAGAAAAAAAAAAATATATATGAGTTGAATGTTAACTTACTAATTTGCATTTAAGATGTAATTTGCCTTTTTCATATAAAAATTACATTCTTAAATATGAAGTCTAGGCACGCTTTTTTTTTGTAAGGAAAAAAAAAACATAAGGTGACAACGGAGAAAGAAATATTGTTATTGATTTAACGCATATTGTTAAAGGTCAGTTTAGGAGATAAATGGACTGTCAACGGACCCTTCACAAATTATTTTTTTGTAAAAACAGACCTTTCACAAAATTATTTACCCAGCTTTTTTTCATATTGAAAATGAAACCCCCAGAAAACTTTCTTTGATTAAGAGAGTCAAGGATGTCATTAATTATAATTTAAAAATCGGTCATAATTTAAAAACCAAGTATTCTTTAAATACTTTTTTTTTTCCTCTCACAAAAACAGTACTTCATTTTAATTTTCAAAATAGATCAAGTCTGAATAAACTCAACTTCACAATAATTTTAGATTCACAAAATTATGAGTAAAGTTTTAGCAAAAACAAGGTCTTAGATCATAGATCTACGGATCTTTCTAAGTTGTAATACAAACTATGAATAAAATTGTTTATACAACAAAGTTTTCAGTTTTTACTATGCAGTATCCATGTACATGACAAATTGCGAACACTTTTATACTAACTCTGAAGTAAACAATCTTTCCTTTAGCAGCAAACGTTTTGAAAGATTTTACAAGACAAAACGCATGACACAATTTAAAATGTCTTGCTTGAAACTTTTAGAAATTATGTCATTTTTATCCATGTAAAGTTAGTTACTGACTTCTTCTTCTCCAGCACTGCAGCCTGTTACCGGCAAGGCTGTCTCCATGAGTCTCCTCCATCTGACTTTTCCTGAAGCAACAGATTGCCATCGATTGACCCTCAGATCTTTCTCAACCGAATTAACGTACTTGATGGGGGTCATCCTCTGTTTTGTGTACCTTCTATTTTTGAAAAAGTTGCCAATTTATTTGGGTTAGAGTCAATCTAAAAAGGTGTCCTAGACATCTAGTGCGGTTAATCTTTATAACTTTAAGTGGATCTGGTTCTTTAAATGTACTATAAGTTTCATAATTATACTGTATTCTATAGAGATCATTTTCATTTTGTTTAACTGCACCTAAGATCTTTCGGAGTATTTTTCTCTCAAAAATCAGCAGCTTATCTTTTTCAGTATTTATTTAGTATACCAGCACTCGCTGCTATACAAAGCAATCGGTCCAATTAAAGTTGAACATAAGTTAGTGTTTGTTTTAACATTGATAATTTTAAACTTGAATTGATTTCTCAACCCATAGAAACATTTGCTTCCATAAATAACTTATTGTTTAATTCAAATTGTACATCATTAGTATTACTGAAAGCAGTTCTAAGTAATCTAAATTGTTGTGCACACACAAAAGTAAAAATATTAATTTTTAAAGGAGATAGGTCAAAGTTTCTCTGCATCAAAACATTTAGTTTTTTTCTTGGTTAATAGTGAGACCCATTATTCTTCAAGGGAGACAAAATCATTGATAGCCGTTGGTTTTGTTCTTATTATGGTAAGTACTTCTATAAAGGTTTAATATCAACAATTTTGAAATCATCATCATCAAAATTTATCTGGGAGCCAGAAGCCGTTTGCGGACCTTTCCCCATCCATCTTGAAAATTTAACTTTAAGGTAGTACTTTCTGGAAACTGGAGTTCTAATTACAGTGAAAAGAAAATTAAATACTTTGTATTCTCAATAAATGTGCGTCGCTACAAAAATAAGCAGCCATTGGCTCGAGGTTCATGTCTTCTTTCCAGTTTTCAAAAGCCTTAAATTCTGTTGAATTCCGATATTTATATAAGAAAACTTCGAACTTAAAAAAAAAAAAAAAAAGACACCATTTTAATAAGTTTTAAGCATGTTCTTTAAAATTGCTATAACAGTTTTGCCATCTTTTAGAACATTTGCTGCTATAAGAATGATTGTATACATAGAGTTAATATGTAAGTGTTCACATTATTTTGTCCTGTACCTGTATATTTCTTATTCTAGTAAGAGAAATGCTTTCAAATCCTCAGATAAAATACGAAACTAGGCTCCATTGAGGGAAAAAAAATCAGGTTGCTCTCAGGTGAGGAGCATGAAATGACAATAAAAAAAGGGGGAGGGGAAGTGCAAACAATTTACTGGGAATTTAGAAGGGGGTCAGAAGGGGAAAGGGGCACGTGCTTGCTGGGAAAGTTCTCACAAGCTGGGGTCCCACGCACGCGTTACATCTGCCAAAGAAGCGCGCAGGGCACGTGTTGCATAGAACGTTCTCACGCATATTCGAGGAAAACGAAAATAGAACAAAACATAGGATGCTGTCTATGTTGGCGACTGAATCATTCAATATTCATCGCCATTCGAAGCCAAACAAACGATTTTGGCTTTATTTACAATACCGATGCAAATCATTTATTTTATTTAGAGTTTGAGACAGCATTCACTACCTTATTATGCGTTGAATAAGCAGCCATTAAATAAGCAGTTAAAAAAATATTTAATTTTAAAAGTAGAGAGTACAGCTGATTTTTTTTTCTCTCTTTAATAACTTATAGTTAGAAAACTGAGATTGATGTCTGCCATTGCGGCAGTATGTTTAAGAACTTGAAGATTTGAAATAAACACGTTGAAAACTGAATTTTCTACTAGTTTCACACACATATATATTTCATGTTTTATATTAATATAACTAGTGGTCAATTTTCCTTGGTCCTTGCTCGCAAATCCGGGATGCAGCTAAAATTTAGTAGTCTATTATTCTTACAGAAGGAATAATCTCATCCATAGAACTATCACGCAATTCAATTCGACAGCACTCGGAAAGCTAACGTCCCAAGTTATTTAAAATAGCTAATTTCACAAATGCAAGTAAAATATTGAACTTACAACGTAAAACGAAGTTGACAGCCAGAGAGACATATCGTAATCCACGAGAGCTAAAAGCTCATTTTTGAAGCAGAGAGCTATAAAGTCAGAATACTACTACAACTACTTTAAAAAAGAATTAATAATAAATAAGAACATACTGCGTTCTTTTATAATTATTATTTTACTTTTTTACTCTTGCAAAGTTTTAGTTTTGTACACAAAATAGTCCAATAAAAATAGTATATTACGTGTAATCTATATTGAATAAAGAATGTTAGCTTAATGTTACGGTAATTTAATAAAAGCATCAATAAAATACAGAATTATACTTCTCACTACTATAGATAGTGTCATCTTATTCATTTGCACATAATTTAAATAAAACTTGCCATGGATTACCGATATCCTTTAATATCACAAATGTTTTATTCCCTTTATTATTTCTTTTGTTTGCAGAATGATTTTTGAATCGAACATGACTGTTGCCACTAGCCAGAAACAAATACAGCTCTTTTTCCGAGATCACGTTGGAGATTTATTTTCAGTTAGACAATGAAACGTACTATAGCTACAGCGATACAATACAAGCTACAATTTGTTTAGAGAGCTTAAAATTGGATATATATATATAGTACTTAGTGGTACCAGTTTTAAGGCAGTGATAAGCCTTATTTGTCTGCATGTATTTGTGTGCGTGTGTGCTTAGGACAAAGAGGGGGAGACCAAAAGACTAAGGAAAAAAATTTGCGGCACAAAATTATTAACTCTAAAACTGATGTATGAAACGGGAATTTCAAAAATCAGGCTCGAATCAGGTGAGAAGTGATGCTGACTCTTATAAATAAAACTTATTTACATAGATAACACGAAGCATAAAAGAGAAATAAGTTAAGATTGGCTCTAAGACAATTTAGGCTGAATGGTACGGAGAAAATATTCAATTTTGTTTGAATAGCATTGAAATCTGAATTCTAACTTAAACGCAAATTTTCCCGGAAAATAAGTGACCTGAAGATAATAGGGTATCTATAGATTTTAATCTTATGCATAGCGCA